CACTGTAACCCAAAGGCAAATCTTCAGTTCGAATGCAAAAAAGATCTTGTGTTGGTGCGCTGAAATTAGGGTGCACATAGACCAGGTGTAGGCAAACCCCGGCCCTCCAGATGTTTGGGACTACAATTCCTATCATCCCTAGCTAACAGGCACAGTGATCAGGAATGATGGGAATTGTAGTCCCAAACATTGGAGGGGGGGTGCGGAGTTTGCCTATGCCTGGCATAGACCCTTCTGCTCCATTTGAAAGGCAGGGATGGTCTGGGGAGCCTGAGAGTACTCCTCCCGCAGCTAGGATCTTATCGCGTGACCTATCAAGCCAGAAGAGGAGAAATCTTCCCCAATGGAATGGCTGTCTTTCAGGAGCTTCTGGGGAAAAGAAAGTTTTTCATGCAGCTCCTAGTCAAACTATGGAACTCCTTTCCCCCCAGGAGGCAGTGGAGGCCACCAACATAGTAAAGGTAAAGGGGCCCCTGACCATTAGGTCCAGTCGTGACCGACTCTGGGGTTGTGGCACTCATCTCGCTTTATTGGCCGAGGGAGCTGGCATACTGCTCCCTCTTCATGTGGCCAGCATGACTAAGCCACTTCTGGCGAACCAGAGCAGCGCACGGAAATGCCGTTTACCATCCCGCCGGAGAGGTACCTATTTATCTACTTGAACTTTGACTGCTTTCGAACTGCTAGGTGGGCAGGAGCAGGGACCGAGCAACGGGAGCTCACCCCGTCACGGGGATTCGAACCGCTGACCTTCTGATTGGCAAGTCCTAGGCTCAGTGGTTGAACCCACAGCGCCACCCGCGTCCCGCCACCAACATAGATGGCTTTAAAAGAGGATTAGACAAATTCTCGGCGGAGAGGGCTACCAGCCATGCTGGCTATGCTCTTGCTTCCACAGTTGGATGCAGCAAAGCTTCTGAATACCAGCTGCTGGAAACCACAGGAGCGGAGAGTGACTCTTGCGCTCGGATCCTGCGTGCTCGTTTCCCACGCTGTGAGAACAGGACGCTGGACTGGATGGGCCATTGGCCTGATCCAGCAGGCTCTCCTTACGTTCTTGTGTTGGCCTTGAGAAGAAAGGCTTTGTGAACACATGAAACCATACGAACACATCAGACCACTGGTCCACCTCGTTATGCATTGTCTGCACTGACTAATAATAATAATGATTTTTTATTTATACCCTGCCCTTCCCAGTTCAGAAAACCGGGCTCAGGGCGGCTAACAACAAATTTAAAACACTTAATTGATGCAACAAAAAACCGGCATAAAATACAGTATAAAACGGGAATAACAATAAATTCAGAATTCAAAAATCAGTTTAGGGGGGAAAGCCATCCAATATACATTAGATGATCACCAGGGTTAGCTGGCTAAGTTAGTACTATTTGGGCCAGTGAGGAGACCAGGGGAGAACTAGCTGTGGGATCCCAGAGTGGGTAATCTTCATAAAAAGGGGAGGGGGAGGGAAGGAATGAGAATAAAAGATGAGGCTAAGTTCAAATTGAAAGCCAGGCAGAATAGCTGTCTTACAGGCCCGTCAGAAGGAGGTTAAATCCTGCAGGGCCCTGGTCTCAGGGGACAGAGCATTCCACCAGGCCGGAGCTTTCACTGAGAAGGCCCTGGCCCTGGTGGAGGATAATCTGACTTCCTTAGGGCCCGGGACCTCTAAACTATGATTATTCATGGACCTTAAGGTCCTCTGGGGGGCTAGCAGGGTTTAACAGCCTCCTTTCAGGTAGGGCCTCTGGCACAGCCAGGTGCCCTGACTGAGCAGAGTTCCTACATGTGAGGACACACCTGTTCTAATACAACTGCAATATTTTGCTGCAGGTTCCCACTTGCGATGACTAACAACTAATTGCCATCTCCTGCAGTCGTGATTTTCTCTTACTGTTCCCAGACCCACAAAACAACTCCAAAGGCTTATTGCATGCAGATGGTTCCCCCGGTTTCTCTTTATACATTTCTGGGTTCCCTTCCCTTTTAAACACAAAAGCAACAAGGCTGAAGAAATCTAATTTTCACGGCAAGAAACCAGCATTGTAGGCAACGCGACAGAAGGAAATGTTTTGGCTGTGCTTGGGGTAGGGGGAACACCCCCCCCAAACGACAATCTTCTGCAAAGCAAGATGTGATTAACAAGCAGGAAGCAAGCGCTATGCGATTCTACAGGATTTGGTAATTGAATCCACCCAGGATAATGACGTTGACCTTCCCATTTGGAACTAAACTAGGCATTCAGCTTATAAGTGCTGTTCGCATTAATTCTAATTGCCCATACATGGCTAACGCGGCAGGATACTACTGGGAGGACAAGGAACAGGTAAATAATGATTACCATTAGCCTGTTTTACTAACAACATCGACAACGGTTTCTGGACCATGTAAAAGGCAGAGTTCGACATCTGGATGCCATCGCTCCAACACAAGGATTTCCCTCCGCGTGCCAGAGCCCATGCATCAAAGCGTATCGTAAGGACATAAAGTCTGCCTTGTTGATTCAGACCAAACATCCATCGAGTCCAGAATTCTGGCTCCGAGGATCAAATGGTTATTTCTGACGATTGTTACTTCTGATGGAATAATCTCCCTTCTCTTGTTCTGGGGTTTCTTCCCAATGCTCCCAAGAAGAGTTTGGAGTTGATATCCTGCTTTATCACTACCCGAATAATAATAATAATAATAATAATAATAATAATAATAATAATAATAATAATTTATTTATACCCCACCCATCTGGCTGAGTTTCCCCAGCCACTCTGGTCGGCTTCCAATTGAGTGTTAAAAACAATACAGCATTAAATATTAAAAACCTCCCTAAACAGGGTTGCCTTCAGATGTCTTTTAAAGATAAGATAGCTACTTATTTCCTTCACATCTGAAGGGAGGGCGTTCCACAGGGCGGGCGCCACTACTGAGAAGGCCCTCTGCCTGGTTCTCTGTAACCTCACTTCTCGCAATGAAGGAACCGCCAGAAGACCCTCGGAGCTGGATCTCAGTGTCCAGGCTGAACGATGGGGGTAGAGACGCTCCTTCAGGTATACAGGCCCGAGCCCCGAAGGAGTCTCAAAGTGGCTAACATTCTCCTTTCCCTTCCTCCCCCACAACAAACACTCTGTGAGGTGAGTGGGGCTGAGAGACTTCAGAGAAGTGTGACTAGCCCAAGGTCACCCAGCAGCTGCATGTGGAGGAACGGGGAAGGGAACCCGGTTCACCAGATTGAGTCCACCACTCTTAACCGCTACACCACACTATCTCCCAAGCAGATTTGGGGAGGGGACAGGGGACACAGAGGGAGCAAGCCCCATGGCAATGGCAGGGCTCATCGCACTGCTTCCTGCTAGTGCAACAACAAAGTTGGAGCCAGTGTTTATTCTCTGTACCTATTTTGCAATACTCCCTTCATCTGACCTTAGGAACAAGTATAGCGACATGTTTCATAGGGGCAAAGGAAGCTTCCTTGTATTGAGCCGGACCATTGGGTCCATCTAGCGCAGTATTGTCTGCTTTGACTGGCCGTGGCTATTTCTTCCAGAGTTTCAGATAGGGGTCTTGGACATGCCTGGGACTGAACCTTTGGACCCCCTGCAAGCAAATTGGATGCTGTATCACTGAGCTGCAGACCTTTTCCTAAATCAGGATATTTATGGCCCATGCCACATATGCACGTATTTACTTGTAAGTCCACTCCATCTTGTTTCCACACTAATCTGGTGTTAAATAAAATAATAATAATCTGTACAGAAAAATTGCCTATATCTCTGTGTATGCGCGCGCACACATTTCCTCACAAAATATGCTCTTTGGGAAATGCATTCTATTCCAAAACTGTGAGTTTCTACATGCATTTGGATATGATCCTTGGGCCGAGAATCATGTTGTGGCCTTCAGAGAAGTGAGAGATCCAATGCACAGCTACATTTGACTTGCACGTTCACCCAGGGGGTGAGGAGGAGGCCACCACAGATTGGAAATCGCAAATATTACACAATATTACACAAAATCGCAAAAATTACACAAATGTAATTCACAAATACGAAATTCCTCAAGCATCTCTGTGGAGGTTTCATTCAGCTCTAATGAGAACTTATAAAGTGGCTCATACTTTAGATTTGCCCATCTACCCCAGCATTCTCCAACCTGGTGCCCTCCAAATGCTTTTGACCACACTCCCATCATCTGCAACCAGTGTCCCTAGAAGTGCCGGATTTATGTATAAAGTAAACAAGCTATAGCTTAGGGCCCCACTCTCTTGGCGGCCCCCCAAAAAATTAAAGGAAAAAAACCTGGATGTACATTTCCAAAATATAAGATAAAAAACAAATCAAATTAAACCTACATCCAGCAACAGTGTTTTGTGTTGTGTAGGCTCCTATGATGTAAGGAATGGGCCTCACCTGCTTCCTAAAATATCACTGGTTTGCTCATTTCTATATATAGGGTCCTTACATTCTTCATGGACTGGTACATGAGAACATGTGCAAATGGCTTTAGATACCTATTAAGTCCAGAAATTACCATATGGCATATATTCAACACAACAAACAGTGACAATTTGTTGTTGACAAATGGCAGCTGGACATATAAAGGGCCCCATTACCTTCAGTAGCTTAGGGCCTCATCAAACCTAAATCCGGCCCTGGATCCTAGCCATTTAAAGACTTACTGCGTTCAAGTGCACTCAACCAGCATGGGACAAGGCAAGTCTTCATTTGCCTTTCACTCTGCGCTCACCACACCAAAAGATAAAGTCGCTGCTGGCTGCCTGGCAATTGCATGTGTGTACACCTAGTTAGAAAACATTTCCTTCCATTTCTATATTGCAAACAGATCTTTGCCAGTAGCCACCCCACTGCTAATGATCTCTGAAACGGTCCCCTCGGCTGCTCTTGTTGACTATTCCAAAACACCACCTGGACACACTTAGAAATGCAAGACTGCCCACGGCAGAAGCAAAAGCTTTCCCCATGCGAGATAAGATTCGGTGCGGGTGATACCTGGCTCCATTACAGCAGAAGCAAGAATAGCAGGGGCCTGGAGCTCTGCAAATCCCTCTTTGGTGTCATCGGATCTTCCTTTAAGGGCAGCCCAGAAGAACATTCTGAAAAAGGAGAGCAAGAGAATCATTCCACGTGTGTTAGGCCACCAGAGGAGGCAACCATTTTCCTCGGCGGAGCTCCGCTGAGCAAGTGAAACACATACACAATTAGCAAATTAATTAGGTGGAGAAATAGTTGGATGGAGTCCGTTGCACCGCCAGGCCTTCTTCCTTCCACCTAGAAGAACGGTTTTATTTTTATTTTAACCCTCACAGTCCTTTCCCAGGTGTCAAGAGTTCATATCACCCTCCTTCCCCTGTAAATGTAGATGGATCAGAGATTAGCGGACGTGGAGACTGTGGCAGGCTATGAGGAGGAGATCTTGACCTTGCACAAAAAATACCCTTTGGGGGCAGCCAACTGAGAATTAGCCAAAGGTGCCAGCTGTCTGAAAGAACGTTCATGCCTCAGAGCTGAAAGACACAGATTTTCTATCCACAGCCTAAGAGTGCCTCTGCCAATGATGTTTACTAGAGCCAGATGAAAGGATATTGGCCCATGACCTATATCTATCATCCCGCCTTTCTCCCAGGAAAAACAATCTCTCAAAGGACCTGTTGATGGCATTTTACCATTGTACTGTGGAGAGTGTATTAACTTATGGTTTGTGTGTGTGGTTTGGGAGCTGCACGGTCAGGGGAAAAAACAGTGCTGTCCAGGGTTGTAAAGACTGCGGAGAGAATAACTGGGTGCACTCTTCCCACCTTGGATCAAATCTATGCTTCCAGGTGCCATAAGAAAGCTGCAGAGGTAGCGCATGATAGTGCGCACCCCGGAAATGATCTCTTTCAGCTTCTGCCTTCTGGAAGAAGGTACAGGGTTATAAAGACTAGGACTAACCGCCTGAGAAACCGTTTCTACCCAAATGCGATTTTGGTTTTAAACGCATTGTACGGAGTCTGTATGGGAGTATATTGTATTTAAAAATGGGGTATCAGAGTTTTTAGGGGGCTAACCAGGTTGGGATAGCTGGGATAGCAGGCTTGTTGGGTTTTGAATGTCTTATGTGGATTTTTCAATTTCGTTGTTCTGTATGGGACAATGACAATAAAGATTATTGTATCGTAAGATTTACAGAAGCCTTCCTGGTTTCTCATTTGATCCTGGAATGTCCCGCTTTTCCTTAGGACGTCCCTATTTGCACCAGAGAAATATTGGAGGGTATAGTTGGACCTCCCTATTTTCATCAGTGAAACGTTGGTGGGTATGGAGTTATGCGACCCCCGAGCCAAGGAGACAAGTAACTATGCAACCTTTAGAAGACATCTGAAGGCAGCCCTGTATAGGGAAGTTTTCCATGTTTTATTATGCTTTTATATATGTTGGAAGCTGTTCAGAGTAGCTGGAGGAACCCAGTCAGGTGGGTGGGGTACAAATAGTAAAATTATTATTTGTATTATGGAATAGGATATCCCCATTTTCCTTGGCAGAAATGTTGGAGGGTATGAAATTAAAATAACACACACACATACATAAAAATATTTAAATAAGTAACCCTGCTTTAAGAAACACTGGGAACCCCTAAAACCATCTGAAAGCATGCACACACACAGAATGAAAAAACATTTGTCTGTTGGCTAGGATTGCCAGATTTCCAGATTTTTTCAGATAAAAAACATGTGTTGAGCGGTTGTTGTTTTTTTGCATGATTGCCCACACCAGACCCCCAAACTGAGCCGCCCATGCACACATTTTTTTAACTCCCCCCCCAAAAAAAACCTGGACATTTGCTTAAAATTGTAAAAAAATTCCTCCGGATGGGCATGTAGACCCCCCCAAAAAGAGGACATGTCCGGGATTTCCCGGACATATGCCAATCCTACTGTCAGCACAAGGAAAGCAGACGGGAGATCAGCCTAGCCACACAAACACCATTCTCTTATTTCCTTCATGATGTATGAGAGTTTTGGATTTGATACCCCGCTTTATCACTACCTGAAGGAGTCTCAAAGTGGCTAACATTCTCCTTTCCCTTCCTCCCCCACAACAAACACTCTGTGAGGTGAGTGGGGCTGAGAGACTTCAGAGACGTGTGACTGGCCCAAGGTCACCCAGCAGCTGCATGTGGAGGAGCGGGGAAGCGAACCCGGTTCCCCAGATTACGAGTCTATTGCTCTTAACCACTACACCACACTGGCTCTCTCACCACAGAGGCTACCCCAAACCTTGCCATAGTCCTCAGACCAGTGTTTTCTCTAACATGCTCATCTTTTTTACATGTTCAGATTTATGGAGAGTTTGTGTACATGGAGGAGCACTCGATTATGCGGTTCCCCAGCGGAAGCGAGATTCTGCAGAGGCAAAAGTACCTTCCACTCTGCTGTTTGTGAGAACAAGGGCATTTGGGTGCGTTTTAGCGCTGCTCCAGAGCATCCGAGCACTTCCTCGAGTCCATCTGGGATATGAAATTTCAGAAGGGAAAATTTCCTCTCAAATGGAAGGAGGGGAAACAAGGCTACTCCATCACCGTCTGTGCTCAAGCTTTACTTAGAGATGGAATCAGAGAAAGGTCAGAGGATCTCAAGAGGTTGAAGACTCCTGTGGCCTGAGGCTGCTGTGGATTTTGAGCACTCTGGCTTCTGAGACTTCTTCAGGGGAAAGGAAGTCCACCATCAGTCACATTGGACTTCAAAAAGAGGACACTTCTAACTGAAAATAAAACGAGGGGATTCGTAAAAAGGAAGCTGGAAGAGAAAGTCAAGAGGGTCAAAGCTCTTCAGAATGCTAGGGGGGTTCTTCAAAATCACAATAATAGAAGTTCAGCGAAAATGTATACTGACGATCAGTGTGGTTGCTACAAAACCCAAAAGGATTTCTGTGTGATTAACAAGTTAGTGTCAAAGAAGTAATAGGGGGCTTCCTTCAGAAAATGGAAGTCTTGCCCAAGTAAAGAGGACCAAAAGGAACAGAAACGTTGGCCAAAGAAATTCCAGTAGACAAAAAGGGATGCTGAAAAAAGAATTCTGAGGAACGCGTTGCCAAAACCGTAAAAGCAAACAAATTATGTAAAGGCATTAGAAACAGGAGACCAAGCAGGCAAACTGTTGGACCTTTGGATGAGAAGGGAGTCAAAGGTGTGCTCAATGAGGAAAAGGATGTTTAAGAGAAGGTGAAGGTATTATTTGCATCCGTCGTCACTGCAGGAGATGTAGAGCAGCTCATCTGTGCCTGATCCAATTTTCTCAGGAAGGGAGTCAGAGGAAATGTGGCAAATAGTGGTGACGAGAGATGAGCACAATAAAAACCGACAAATCGCTGGGTCTGCATGGCATCCACCTGAGAGTTCTTAAAGAACTCACATGTGAAATTGCTGATCTTCTAACAAAAATATGTAAATCGTCCTTAAGATAAGTAGCTGAAGGCTGGAAAATACCAATGTAAACCAATTTTTAAAAATAATTTGCAGTTGGGGGGGGGGCTGGTAAAGGAAGCTACAAGTAGGTTAGCTCAGTATCTGTCCTGGAAAAAAACTGGTGGAAAAACATGATCAAAGACAGAACAGCCAGCATATAGAAGAACAAGCCATGCTGAAGAAGTACCAGCATGGCTTCTGAAATGGTATGTGCTGCCTAACATTTTGGAGTTTTGTTGAAAGTGTCCATAAGCCTAGGTCAAAGGACGGTGGAGGAGATACTGTTTACAGTCATACCTTGTGTTGTGTTAGGTTCATGTTGCGTCTCTTTGGCTTGCGAACCCGGCACACCCGGAAGTGTATATTTCTGGGTTTCGCCGCGCCTGTGTGCACAGAAGTGTTCTGCATGCTTCGCACATGCACAGAAGTGTTATGCGTGCTTTGCACATGCGCAGAAGTGCTCTATCACGCTCTGCACTTGCGCAGAAGTCCACCCCAGAACGGATCCTGTCCACAACTAGAGGTACACTGTACTTGGATTTTCAGTTAGCTGTTGATACAGATCCTTCATTAAAGACTCATGAATAAGCTTAGCAGAGGTGGGGAAAAGGGAGAAGCCCTCTTGGTGTTGTTTAGTCGTTTAGTCATGTCCGACTCTTCGTGACCCCCTGGGCCAGAGCACGCCAGGCACTCCTGTCTTCCACTGCCTCCCGCAGTTTGGTCAAACTCATGCTGGTAGCTTCGAGAACACTGTCCCACCATCTCGTCCTCTGTCGTCTCCTTCTCCTTGTGCCCTCCATTTTTCCCAACATCAGGGTCTTTTCCAGAGAGTCTTCTCTTCTCATGAGGTGGCCGAAGTCCTCTTATGTATCATTAATTGGTTAAAAAATCAGAAAGCAGGGAAAGGAATAAATGAAAACTTCTTCCAGTGGAAGGATGTAGGAAGCTGGGACCCCCAAGAGATCTGCACTGGGACAGATGCTTTTTAACTTGTTCATAAATAATCTGTAATTAGGATAAGCAGTGAGATGGCCAATTTGCTGGTGACACCCAACTGTTGAGGATGGCCAAAGCTACATAGGATTGTGAGGAGTTCCAAGTAGGTTTATCCAAAGAGGATGAACAGGCATCAAAACGACAGATGCAGGTTCAACGAAAACAAGTGTTAAGCGATGAACACTGGGGCAAAAACGTACACTAATGGGGTCTGAAATGGTAGCAACTGGCAATCCTTGGAAGGGCTGGTGGCTTAGAGTTACCAGTATGGTGTAGTGGTTAGAGTGATGGGCAAGGATCTGGGAGACTAGGGTTCAAATCTATACGAATCTCATTGGGTGACAATGGCCAATCACTATTCCCAGATTAACCTAACCTCAAGGGGTTGTTGTGAGGATGAAATGTGCTGTGGGAGAGCCATCTCCGCCACCCTGAGCTCTATGAAGGAAGTGTGAAATATGAATGTAGTGGTGATAATAATAATAATTATAATAATAATAATAATAATAATTCATTTATACCCCATCTGGCTGGGCTTCCCCAGCCACTCTGGGTGCCTTCCAACCAAATATTAAAATACAGTAATGCATCAAACATTAAAAGCTTCCCTAAACAGGGATGCCTTCAGATGTCTTCTAAAAGTTTGGTAGTTGT